GCTGCCAGACCTATTCTCCAGCCCTTTCTGTTTTTATTTCAGACCTTCGTCACGAGCAGTATTTTTCGCCTGTGTTGCTGCCCCCTACCTCAAGGCAGCAATGTGGAGCTCTGACCAAGGTAGAACAGCTGCAATGGCCACTCTACCAGGGCACCATTGTCACAACCATCCGTCCTCCTAACTCAACACCCTCCACCCTCTGCCAAACCCTGGCCTCTAAGTTTTCACTGATGTGATGAGCATGACGATTTGCAAGCCTTGAAATGGAGTCACAGAGGGAAAATGTTTGGAAAGCACTGCCTTACATCCAAGATATTATCGTTTACTAATAAGAGTGACCTCAAAGCAAATGCCTTATGGGACACAGCTCTTCCAGTCAAAAGAAACTTCCTTTTACCCCCATCCTTGTTTTCTGCCTTCTGGGTTTAATGGTTTAAGAACCACAACTCAGGTAGAGTAAATAAAATGAAGTGAGAGAAGCAGAAACAAAACTCCCAGATGACTGCCCCGTGCCTCCCATCTCTGTGTCCCTGTGAGCACATTCCCTTTATTTCTCAGTGCTATAAACACAGACTGGAAGGCTGGGACTTCTTTCACTGGAGTGTTGGAGGTTCAGGAGGTTTATAAAATCACAAGGTGCACAGATAAGGTGAATAGTAAGGGTCTTTTGCCTAGGGCGGGGGAGTTCAAAACCAGCGAGTATATTTTTAAGATGAGGAGAGAAAGATTTAGAAAGGGCATGAGGGGCAGCTTCTTTACACAGAGAATGGTTTGTGTGTGGAATGAACAGCCAGAGGAAGTGGTGGATGCAGGTACAATTACAACATTTAAAAGACATTTGGATAAATTCATGAATAAGAAATATTTGGAAAGATATGGGCCAAGCAAAGGCAGGTGGGACTAGTTTAGTTTGGGATTATGGTCGGCATGGACTATTTGGACCAAAGGTTCTGTTACCGTGTTGTATGACACTAAGCCATCGGAAAATTATGGTCAGACTCCTCAGTCATTTCCTCTGGGCTTACAGGTGAAATCCATCACATCTGAGTGATTTGTCTATCCTAAGTTTCGAATAACTGTTTCATATCATTTCTCTTTGAACTATAGCCTCCACCAAATTTCTTAAAACCACCTCAGCTGGTTGTGTAATCCCAGTACTAACTCCTCTATGAAAGCAAAGATGAATTATTTACCATTTCTGCCATTCCCTCACACACCACTACAAACTGAGTCTCTTCATCTCTTAGCAGCCTGTTTTTCCTATTAATCATCAATACACATCCTTTTTGCCTTACTGGAATATAGTTAATTTGTACTCTTTCTGTCTCCTGTTTAAATATTTCCTGTTAAATACAGTTATGTTTGCCAATTTTTCATTCTCTTTAATCAAGGCTATGTCCCTTTTAATCTTGGTATAATTTGTTTTTTTTTCCCCTAGTCAAATACATATGCCTGTCACTTTTCTTGCTCTTTATTTTTCTTGTATTGAACTTAATTATATTGTGGTCACCACTTCCCAAATGTACCTCTAAGTTGATGTGGTCTACTTGCTCCATTTCATTATACAGGAACAGATCAAATAGTGCTCTTTGCTGGACTAGTAACATTGAAAACAGTCTTGAATACCCTGTAAAAGTCTTTCTTCCTTTTAAATGAAACATTTTCCCAGTCTACTTCTTGAAGAATTGATATCTCACGTAATTAGAAATCTATTCTTTATACAAGCTCCTTCCTGTTCTCTTTCTTATCCCCTAGGAGGGTTTTTACCTAGGTATATTTAGTCACTGATCCTCACTTGCCTGCAGTCACATTTTAGTTATTGGTTTGCATCATGTCTATTTTAATCAATGTTGGTTTCCCAATTTTAGATTTGGCAGTACAGTAAGTTACAATATCAGATGCAGAAGCAAAATGTTCAACTCTGGGAACAGCTGATACCATGTTACTAAGGTTTTCTAGCCAATTAAAAGTTACAAAGTATGCCACCAAGTCACAATTTGCAATAGAGAACAATGATAATAGAAACACAACTATATTTCTGTGTTAGGTTAACCGTTCTGTACTCAAGGTTAAGTTGGATGGCACAGGGCATTCGAACATCAACAAAGACAGTCATGTAGCATTGAGAATGTAGAGTTGAATAAAACTATTCTGTTTAACTGACAATCTCAGTCACATCAGTGTGACGAAGGATGAGGAAAACCACTAACGCTCTAGGATCTACAAGGATATCATAGCAGTCATAAGTATGTTTTCATTGTATGCAATTTCCATGGAATTATTTTCTTTTTAATTTGGTAAATATGCATCAAATCAGAAAAATGTTTTTAGTCATACTGTATGAACATATTGAGGTTTTAATAAGCTGCCCTTTCCTGTGGCACACAGATCATAAACTCTGCCAACGCAAGCAAAGAGAATTATATTTTGCTCATTGAATACAGGAACAAGTTTCAGGGCACTGTTAGTGAGTCTTTTCTACAGTGTTTCAATTACCATACAGAAGTTGCACTGTCTGTACTGATAAAGTTAACACTAAGGCCATGTGCTATCCATAGTTTCTTGTTCCTTCCAGAGCGATTTCAGCAAACTGATTTCACCAGTTCTGGTGAAGCAATCCCTCAATAGGTTGTTGATGTCACAACACAATTGTCCTTCATGCTTAAAAGTTATAACCTTTCACCTATTTTGCAAATGTGATTGTGAAAATTATAGATACTTTGTTTCGTATCAAATGAATGCCTTTGTTCATTTTTTCCAAGTAAGAGATGAACACTTAAACCTATTTTTTACAATAGCAAATCCCCTGTATCATGGTTCATAAAACATGCATGGTTTTAATAAGGTCAAGATGTATTATGTCATGTCATGTCATATGTTCTTCTTTAAACAACAACGTTCAGCACTTAGGAAGTCGACAGACACCAGCGAAGATTCTCAAAACTTACTGATTGCAATATTTTATGTTCCTGGAGAACTGCGTTTGTCCCTTTATACATCTGTTTGAAGTGTGACATAGATCTTTGTGGTATACAAGAATTTTAATAAATACAGAACATAGGGACAGGGTAGGCCTTTCAGCCCCTCAAGCCTGTTGTTCTATTCGGCAAAATCAAGGCTGATCTGTGGCCTAACTCCACATAATTGCTTTTGACCTATATCCTTTAAAACCTTTGCTCAAAAAAACAGTTTATCTCTCTCAGATTTAAAACTAAAAACTGATGTAGAATCAACTGCCATTTGTGGAAGGGAGTTCAAAACCTCTACCACAACTTTACGTGTAGAAATGCTTCCTAACATCTCTCCTGATGGCCTGGCTCTAATTTTTAGACTAAGCCCCCAAATTCTAGAATCTACTACAGTGGAAGTAGTTTATCTTTACCTACCCTGTCTTTTCCTGTCAATATCTTGAAGACTTTACTCAGATCACCCCTTAACCTTCTACATTCTAGAGAAACCAAGGGAGGTGGACAGAGTTAAGATATAGATTGACCGTGATCTAATTGAATAGTGAAACAGATGAGAGGGGTTGAGTGATAAACTGCTGTGTTTATTTCTCCTGAGAAATATGCACCTTACAAGCTACTTTCAGAATAGTTAGTATTTAATGTGTGCCTCCATTGTTGACTGGCTGTGATTATATGACCACTTATATCCATCACAGCTTTTCTGCATGTCTTCATGCAATGGAAAGAAATTTTGAGCCAGCAGCTTACGGCAAAAGTTTCAGCATCCTGCCTGTATATCTTGTTTTACTTACATTGCCTCTGCTGAACAATTAATCAATTTATTAAATGTTTTTGCTGCAAGTAACAGAGACAGATTGTCAGGAGTACCTGGGCCAGCTAAAGCATCATTTCTGAGACCGGTACAGCCCTGTTCTACACAGCAAATTGCACACTCTGCTGGGCAAAGATAATTTAAGAAATCCCTTGCTACGCCTTGAAACTACAAGATTGCAAGAAGTGTAAGAATAAGGAAAGAATATTTACCTAGTTATTTATTCTATTCCACAATCCCCTGTGACAATTCAATAGCACTGTTTCATAACAGCCAGTTGCATTAATCTGGAGGTTGATTTGTGGCACATTGGAACCATAAATGGCCTGATAGCATCATAAATTACTTGAATATCGACCTAACTAACATTGTAACTGAGAAAAGCAGTAATGGTGAATTCATCTAATAGTTAAGCTGGCTATGGTAGCGAGTAACCAAGTGGTCATGAGCAGGATGAATTTGGATTCAATCCAAGATACTAAGTTAGCAAACTTTAGACAAGAAATTAAAAAAGTGGTTTGCAAAGTCTTATCTCGAGCTAGAGAGTGAGAAATCATTCAGCTCTCCCACTTCTCTTTTCTCTTTGGGTTGATTGCTGGAAATGTGTCAATGCAAATAGGAGTAGAATATTGACCCCCCAGGGAAGGTTCTGTTCTTCAGTGACCTTATCGTTGATCTATACCTTAACACCATCCACCTATCTGCCTTGGCTCCATATCCCTTTATACCCTGTACAGATATTTAGGTTAGCCTGTCCCCACACTGGATAAATAACTCATCAACACTTCCTGTCTAAACTTCAGCATGAAGTAGAGCAATTTAGCTGTGATAACAGAACAGTGGAACTATGCCTAGACAAAAGCTAATATTTTAAAACTTATAGAAGGGGCAAACATGGAAGAAGGTTGATAGAAAGAAGTGGTAAAAATCAATATTGATAACTCATTTATTGATTTACAACAACAATTAATTAATTCACAACCTCATTTAATCTTATCAAATTGCCATGATGGTATGGAATTTAATCTTTAATGACCGTGGGAGGTGTGTGAGTTCCAAAGTAGGTTTGAATCCAGCCAAGATCATTTCCATTGCAGGAAATGAATGCGGTTTTCTACACAGAATTCACTTTTATCTCAAGAAGCATTTAATCTTATCACAGTGCATTTCAAAGAGAAAGACTCTCCGTATTGGGACCCCGAAAAGCTCAAACACAATACCTGGTTCCAGCTAGCAGGAGAATCTTTGCATTTTCAAGGCCTTTAGTCAACAGCTCTTTGATAACTTCTTGTATTATCAGCGCTCCCATGAAAGCATAGGCACCTTCAACAAACAATAAGTGATGATTGGTGAGCGCAAACCACAATGAACAGGCCGTGACAGCAGAATCCCACCTTTTAGTTTGTCTCCTCTCTCTCTCCTGAAGGTACTGACTAGTGCAGGGCACTAAAGGACAAACATTTCTACTTGAGCCTTCAGAGTGACTGCTAGTAGCTATTCATCATTGAGCGGCATCAAATCCAAGTCAAATTATGATTACCTGCGTCAAAATCCGGGAATACCCTCCCTAACATCACTGTGGGTCTATCTACAGCACACAGCCTGCAGCAACTTGAGAAGACAGCTCACCACCACCTTTTCAAGGGCAACTAGGAACAGGCAATAAATGCTGGCCAGACAGTGAAACTCATGTCCCACAAGCGATTAATATGAAAACATTCACATACACCAACTTTGCAAGAGAGATCATTAGATAGCAATCGCAACCAAGAATTACAGTATGTTATCCACTGAGGTAGAGCTAGATAAAAGAAATTTAATGTTCACTTTAAAAATTGAAGAGTTTTAATAGAGTGAGTGGGGAAAGTCTATTTAAAATTGAGGTATAAGTGGGAAGAGAAGATTGGGAAAGGTTTATTTACACAGGAAGATGCCATTTTGCCAAAAGGAGTTAAGAGGCATAGAGATATACAGCACGGAAATAAACCCTTTGGTCCAACTTGTCCATGCCAACCGGACAACCTATGTAAATCTAGTCCCATTTGCCAGCATTTGGCCCATATTCCTCTAAACCCTTCCTATTCATATACCCATCCAGATGCCTTTTAAATGTTGTAATTGTACCAGCCTCCACCACTTCCTCTGGCAGCTCATTCCATACATACACCAGCCTCTGTGTGAAAAAATTGCCCCTTAGATCCCTTTTATATATTTCCCCTCTCACCTTAAACCGATGCCCTGATGTTTTGAACTCCCCTATCCTGGGGAAAACACCTTGCCTATTTACCCTATTCATTCTGTCATGATTCTATAAACCTCTATAAGGTCACTCCTCAGCCTTCGACACTCCAGGGAAAATAGCCCCAGCCTATTCAGCCTTTCCCCACGGCTCAAACCCGCAAAACTTGGCAACATCCTTGTAAATCTTTTCTGAACCCTCTCAGGTTTCACATCCTTCCTATAGAGGGGAGACCAGAATTTCACGCAATACTCTAAAAGTGGCCAAACCAATGTCGTATACAGCCGCGACATGACCTCCCAACTCCTATACTCAATACACTAACCAATAAAAGCAAGCATACCAAACACCTTCGTCACTATCCTATCTACCTGCGACTCCACTTTCAGGGAACAATGAACCTACACTCCAAGGTCTCTTTGTTCAGTAACACTCCCCAGGACCTTACCATTAAAGTGTATAAGTTCTGCCCTGATTTGCCTTTCCAAAATGTAGCACCTCACATTTATCTAAATTAAACTCCATCTGCCATTCTTTGGCCCATTGGCTCATCTGATAAAGATCCTGTTTTGCTCCAAGGTAACATTCTTCGTTGTCCACTACACCTGCAATTTTAGTGTCACCTGCAAACTTACTAACCATACCTCCTATGTTCACATCCAAATAAATGACAAAAATCAGTGGGCCCAGCACTGATCCTTGTGGTCACAGGCCTCCAGTCTGAAAAGCAACTCTCCACCACCTCCCTCTGTCTTCTACCTTTGAGCCAGTTCTGTATCCAAATGGCTAGTTCTTGTTAAGACAGAGGCCATTTCACCTTTAAAGGAAAAGAGTGGATAAATATTTGAAGCAGGGAAAGAACAGAGTGACTGGGGAAGAGAGCAGGGCCATGTGATTAATTTTAGATTGTTCTAACAAACAAACTTGTGCAAATCCGACGTTTTAATGCAAGTGTCACTGGTAAGAGTAGCAGTTGTTGGCCAGAAAGTGATGGTAACTGGGTGACTTTTAGATCACCTCAAAGGGCATTTCTATTAATCTGTGACTGGGATAAGAACTGCATGTTTCTTTTCTTAAATGACATTAGAGAACCAGTTAGCTCTTTCTGACAATACAGCTTTCTGGTCACTTGTACTGCTGCCAATTTTCTTATTGAAATGGTTAGATGGTCTACTTTTGACTGTAAACTTGTTTGGTTCAATTAGCTAAATTCACGGATCCTCCAATACCACATCAAAATGTTCATTCATCACACTGACCATTGGCAAGGCACTGGACATCAGAGGATATAAGTCAATCAGATTCTGCCCCAATGCATGCAAACTTTCCAATTCTAATAACTCGACAACAATCAGGATTTAGAACATTAGTTAAAAACACTCTGGTGATCTGTAGTGTCCATGTCACTGTCCTGGGCACAGTCAGTCAACTGAATTCAACTATCAGACTATGACCTGGCACATGTGAATGGCTTAGTGTCACTCCAAGTAATGAGCTTATTCATTTGGCAACCCTACATAAGTTTGATAGAGATACATTCTGCTTAAGACAACATAGAACCAAACAAAAACATACTTTTCTCAGATTTCTGGGATGCTCCACTCCAGACATCACTTGAGCAATAAGGGATAAAACTGAAATATGAATAAGAGTGCAATTAATCAACGTGCCAGATATTATTATTCACGTAGATATATAATGTTCAGTGTCACACAGAATTACACAAGTTTCTTATAGTTGGGAGAAGATGAAAAAGGCTTTCTTATGCCTATGATAATCCAACAAAGCTAGCCCTAGATTTTCCAAGAGGACTTTGAGGGAGGAGAGGTGTCACAGGGAAACAGACCTCTGGTTCTTCACAACAAGGAGGGAGCCATTCACCCTGGTACTTGTTCTCTTAAACTTCCTAATGTATTAAAAGTGAACTGTCTGAGGTCAAGGAGCAGGTCAGCACTGTCTTCTACCCTAGATGGTGTGTGGTGGATAGGATCAAATGACAGTGGCAGAAAAATAACCTACAAATCAGGAGAAATGATGCAGGAGATTATAATTCCCAGTCTGTATTTATGCTATATATATAATATAGAGTGTGGTTCAGTGAATGCACAGGAGTTACTGGAATGATTACATGGCATACTTTGGTGCATTGTCTACCTTTTTGCAGATAATTCTAATTAGAAAAAAATTAAAAATAACTCAATTCCAGTGTAAGAATCACAACATCAATAAGAGTACAAGCAAATTCATTACTCATTTCCCTAGACGGAAATAGTGAAGTCAGTGCTGGTACATGTAATGTGGTTCTATATAACCATTTTACTTCCCCAGGTTTAACATAATTACATTGTTCAATTTTTTCCCTCATGTTCTTCCTTTACGCACAACATCACCCAGAGGTGCAAATGCTTGATCAGGTATGAAAAAGCCCCAAATAAGCATTCTTCCTGTGTGCCTAACCATCAGTGTGGCAAGCTGACTGATTACAGTGGTGATTACAGTTAACAGTTCACTCATGGCGTCCAGGTGGCTGTGACTTTTAAATACATGTTGTAGTCTAGGGCTATGGATTGTGATGGTAGAGGTTCCAGTGTTACCTCTGCCATGTGGTTGACCAGGAGTTTCTCCTGCTCTGACTGCCTGCCTTTGGAACGTACTGGAAGGAATTGTAGGTTCATGATCAACCTGCTTATGAATTCATCTTCCTTCGCCATTGAGTCCTGAGATGATGCTTTTGTCTCATTGGCAGGGATGCCACCACTGCCCCAAGGAGATGTTTCAAATTTGACTATGAACCTCAACTTATCCAAAGCCATTATTCATGTGGGAAGTGCTAAACAGGAATTACAAGCAGGAATCCCACTTCACATTTTCCCTCATGATCCAAAGGTACTTCAGCCACTTGTAATGTATTCACTCCTCCCCTAACTTTGATTGATTGACCCAGCACAGAAGAAATCAGGACTCCTGCAATCTGTGATAACAAGGTGCAGAGCTGGATGAACACAGCAGGCCAAGCAGCATCAGAGGAGCAGGAAAGCTGACGTTTCGGGTCGAGACTCTTCTTCAGAAATGGGTGAGGGGAAGGGGGTTCTGAAATAAATAGGGAGAGAGGGGGAGGCGGATAGAAGATGGATAAAGGAGAAGATAGGTGGAGAGGAGACAGACAGGTCAAAGAGGCAGGGTTGGAGCCAGTAAAGGTGAGGGTAGGTGGGGAGTTAGGGAGGGGATAGGTCAGTCCAGGGAGGACGGACAGGTCAAGGAGGCGGGATGAGGTTAGTAGGTAGGAGATGGGGGTGGGGCTTGAGGTGGGAGGAATGGTTAGGGAGGTGGGGACAAGCTGGGCTGGTTTTGGGATGTGGCGGGGGAGGGGAGATTTTGAAGCTTGTGAAGTCCTGCAATTTGTATCATTTTTCATTCATTCATGGGATGTCAGTCTCGCTGGTATCCTCAGGAAACACTCAAGAAGCTTGACACCATCCAGGACAAATCAGCTCCCTTGATCAACATTCCATTCACCACCTTCAATTCAATCTCTCCACCATCGAAACACAGTCACAGCAGTGTGTACCATCTACAAGATGCATTGCAGCAACTCACCAAAGCTTCTTCAACACCACCTTCCAAACCACCACCACCTTACCAACTTGAAGGACAAGGGCAGCAGATACATGGGAACATCACCACTTACCTGCAAGTTCCCATGCAAGCCACACACCTTCCTGAATTGGAACGATCTCGTCATTCCTTTACAGTTACTAAGCCAAATTCTTGGAACCACCTTCCTAGCAGCACCGTAAGAATATCTGCACTCCATGGACTACAGCAGTCCAAGAAGGAAAGAGCTAACCACCACCTTCTCAAGGGCAGTTAGGAGTGGGCAATAAATGCTGGTGCAGCCAGCAAAGTCCACTTCCCATGAAAGACTGTAAAACAAAAGGCAATGAGACACCTTCTTGAACCGCTGCAGATTGTATGGCATATGTACTCCCACTGCCCTGATATATATGAAAGTCCAGAATTTTGACCCAACATGGATGAAGGAACAATGATATACTTCCAAGTCAGGAGGCTGGTGTGTAACTTGAGGGAGAATTTGATGGTTGTGATCTTCCATTCAGCTGTTGTCCTTGACTGTGTAGTAGGTTGAGGTCACGGGCTTGGATATTCAGTGTCAAACCAGGTGTTGCATTTTTGCAAGTCATCAAGTGAATTTGTTTCAAGTTATCTGACGTTGTGTTTAATATTCACACATCATAACTTTTCTAAATTTGGTTCCTAATTGTTTGAGTTGACCAAAACTTACACCATGTTAGCGTTCCACCAATACGGATTTTCTTCTGGCTGAGAAGACAGGATTCCAGTTCCTGTTGAAAGAAAAGCCCCAGAAACATCAGGCCCATGGGCTTAATGAGAATTTGACAACACACCACATTTTTTTTTATATTTAGCGGAACAGTTTGATGGAAACCAGCATTTTGACTTCTCAGGGATATAAAGCATCCATGGTCAATTTTGTTGCATATTGAGAGTGCATATTAGGACAGTTCACCCATGTACTTCAGCAGTTGGAGAATTAGGGCTGGGGTTTCCAGTATGTAATATGATTGCTGAATGTTGAGCAAATTCCAGTGAAATTATGGGAATTTGAGTTACAAATGAATAGTTAATCTGCAAAAGTCTTCAGTCATGGGAAATATCTCAATTTTTATAATGTCAATGTGTGAAATTGCCAATTAAGTCAATCTGCATTAATTGTGGGTAGCCTTCTGTGGTCATCCCTATCCATTAGAAACTAGGTTGACTGATTTGAGGATACTGCAAAACTCTCATTGTTAATGTCCAAAATAAACAGAGGTGGCAGGCAACTAATGACAAGGAAACTTCAATCACAGGAGCAAACAATCAGAAAAGTCATCCCCATATGCAGGACTATTGCCCAGAAGAATCATATCAGACTCAGAACATTAACCCTATTTCTCTCTCCATGGATTCTGCCAGACCTGCTGAGTTAAACCACTATTTTTATTTCAAATATCCAGCATCCACATTGTTGTGCTTTTATTTATTGCTAACCTATGCCTGTTGTCTTATGCCAGTTTAAATCCTGTGGTGTCTAGGAACTTAATGCCTTTATTGTGCTTTGTTCCTTTAAGTTTAAGGGAGAGGTGATGATTATTGAGAAATTTGATGAGTTCATCTAATTCTGCTCCTGTGCAAGCCCAAATACCCCAAATGCTAACTAAACTACGGAAAGTAATGTTATTTTGTCTGTCGTCTATGGATAAGGAGCCCATGAAAACCAAATCAGCCTGAAAATCAAAAAGTGACCCTCCAAGAAAATTTCAAGAGGACCCCTTGGGGAGAAAAAAAGATTTTTTACCCCAGCTTATTGGCACATTAGCTCTGCAGCCAGATAGATAAAACATTGGAAAGCAGAGAGGAGGGAAAGAAATGAATGAGATTAGTGCTTCATCCCATTCAAGTCTCAAAGCAGAATGCCTGTACTGTGTACAATAATAACAGCTTGCATTTATATAGTGTCCTTGACATTATGAAAAGTCCAAAGGCGCTTCAGTGGATCATTTAAATGCATCATATGATTTTTGGCCTTTTTCAAAAAGATTACATGAGTACAGTAATGTAGTCTATGAATTTCCAGTATCTTGGCAAACAGTAAATTGTTATGGAACATTTCTGCAGGGTTTTGGTGATATCATCCACTGAATGCCCTTTCTAATGGCTCTCAAAATGATTATTTTAATGCTTTATTCTTCTGAAATGTTTTTTCTCTGTTGCTTGAACAATAGTGCAGCATTCAAGCCATAATTTCCAACACCAACCTGTTTTACTTCGAGGCCAATTGGTGGAGCTCATTAACCGGCGCATGGTATCATATCGTGTGTCACAGTTCTCTTTGCTGAAACAATACCAGCCACCTGGGAGGAAGAAGCAAACAGCAAATTCAACTTGAAGTAGAACAATCAGCACGAGACATCTGTGGGTTAGAACCCTACCAATTCTGCTCTCCAGAAATATCAATAGGATGTAAATACTAGATGTCTATGAATAAAAACCGATAGTATTGAAAAAAGAGAAAAAGGCGGGTTAATGGTTAGCTTTAAATGCCTCATCAGGACTGGGAACTGGAAGATAAGTCAGACATTTACTCATGAACAAAAAGTGGATGGGGAGGGTCAGGAAGAGGAGGAAGGAAATGGGTTGAATGGCCCAATAAGGTTTTGTTTTGGACACTGTTGGTTGAAGTGTGATGATCATCTCAATGAGGTGACTAAACGATATCAAAGCATCAGGGCATCTGTAAGGGATAAGTTGGAGGTGAAACAACGCAGGAAAGAAAATGGGACTAAAAGTTAAATACTGCTGAAAATCTGGGAGAAAATTTTGAAAACATGAGCCATTTGTAAATACATTCGAACAATAAAGCAGAACAACACCTCGGCAGCAAATCCCCAAACAAGCCACAGAGAGAGGAAGCCCCTGCATACCCCCAATTCATATGACTCAGAAACTAGCTGGTATGTTATAAAACCTCTGACAGCCAATTGGTGATGGAGGAGCCCAGAAGTCAATCTTAATAGAGCTGTAGATTTTATTTACAAGTGAAACATTATAAATGTAAGGCTCTGAACTCTTCAACCCACTACCAGTGTCAAACCAATGGTTCCAAATTTTCTCTTTAAAGTGGCACAAAATCAATACAATAAGTGAAACATACTGAGGTAATTATAAGCTCACTGGCAAATTTTACAAACACATGCCAAAATGAATAAACTTTAAATCTCTAAATTAACAATGACAACAGTTGAATTAAAATATCCTCAGTACCAAATCCAAAAATACTAATGTTTTATTAGTACCCCTGATATGCAATGCCTTCTGTCACTGAACAAGATCCATGCAATTTTAATTCACTTAAACCCCATTCCCTTAGGGTTAAAATCAGACCCGCTATCTCTCAATTACAGAAACCACTTCCAGCATTAGAGGTTTTGAGAAGTGGATGACACAAACTAGGCATTATTTATCATCCATCACTTGTCATGCTAAGGACACTAAGAATCAAACTTCTACCATGGCACTGGAGTCACATATAAGCCAGACCAGGTGGGGCTGTAGGTTCCCTTTTTGAAGAAGCTTAGAGAAGTAGCTGAATGTTTATAGCTGCTTTTGTGGTAATTTTCTGATGCTAAGTCGGGAAATTACCAAATTTATTACATTCCATTTCACAGCTAAACATCCACACCCAAGTTTTTATTTACCGTATTATTGCAAAAACATAATTGGAAACCTTTGCTTGACCCAAATTGCTTTGATGCATTTTTGTTGCTCTTAACTTTAGCCCATCAAACTATTTCCACCATTGTCACTAATAGTGACAGACACATGAAGGGAACATGTGAGATGTGTTATACACTGAGGTGAATAATTAATATTGCAATGGAATCAATAATAGACCTAAGCATCCCTTGTTTAGATAGGGACTCAATTCATATTGGATTATAAATTCACAAGATAGAAAGCTAGGAAGGAGGTTGTTGGGTTCAACTTAAATTGTTCCACACACCCAAAAGGATTTGCACTCTCTCCATCAAACCTCTATCATTCAGTATCGAGCTAAAAATGAACAATTACAAGACATGCTCGTTTCCAAATTATTCCCTGGAACAATTCATAATTGACCAGAAAGATAATGGAAGAAAACTGGAATGAGAAGATTTGATTTAAAAAAAACACTAGCCAACTTACAACAAGAATCTGCATTGATATAGCAACTATACAAAATAAAACACCCAAAAACATTTCACAGGAATATTATTGACCAAGAGTTCATTCTGAGTCACATAAGGAGATGTCAGATGGATGGTAGAGATTTGGATTTTAAGGAAACTTCTTAAAGGAATTGAGAGAGATGGAAGGGTAGAAAGGTGTAGGGAGAGAATTCCAAAGTTAGGGGCCCAGGCAAATGAAGACACAGCCACCTGTACAGGAGCAATTAAAATCTAGGTTGCACAAGAGGGTGGGATTGAGACCTGCCAGGGTTCAGTATGCAGCACTCTCACCTCTGGATCAGAAGGTTGTGAGAGTAGCACTCCAGAAATTTGAGTACAAAAGTAAAGGCCAACACTCCAGTGCAGTGCTCAGTGGGTGCTTCACTGTTGGAGGTGCTGTTTTTGGATGAGATGTAAAACAAGCTAGCATAAAGAAGCTAATTTGAAGAAAAGCAGTGGAGTTTTTACCCTGAGATAGCAGGAACTGCAG